CCCGAAGTGTCCCCAAAGTGTCCCCGAAATGTTCCCGAAATTTCCCCAAAATGTCCCCTAAATGTCCCCAAAATGTCCCCAAAGTGTCCCCGAAATGTTCCCGAAATGTTCCCGAAATGTCCCCAAATGTCCTCAATGTGTCCCCGAAATGTCCCCAGAATGTCCCCAAGATGCCCCCAATGCCCTCACCCATCCCGGCTCGCTCTGCCCCCAATTCCCCGGGGTTCCCCTCCCCTCGTGGCCCCCCCGAACCCCCCAATTCCGCCCCCTCCCCAAACTGACGTCGAGGAAGCGCTGGTTGATCTCGTAGATGAGCTGCAGATGCCGCGGCAGCAGCGACTCGAGGAGGTGCAGCGGCCACCGCTCCAGCGCCTCGGGCAGCACCGTGTGGTTCGTGTAAGCGCAGGTGCGCACCGTGATGTCCCAGGCCTGGGAGGGGACACGAGGGGACATCCCCAGAGTGACCCAGAGTGACCTTGAGTGACCCACAGTGACCCTGAGTGACCCACGGCCACCCTGAGTGACCCACGGCCACCTCGAGTCCCGGCTGCACACCCGGAGCCCTAAACACGGCAGAGCCCAAAACTCAGACCCTGTCCCAGAGCGGAGGGTGGGGGACACGAGGGGACACCCCCAGAGTGACCCAGGGTGACCTTGAGTGACCCACAGTGACCCAGGGTGACCCAGAGTGACCCACGGCCATCCCGAGTCCCAGCCGCGCACCCGGAACCCCAAACGCGGCAGCGTCCCAAACGGAGACCCTGTCCCAGAGCGGGGGGTGGGGGACACGAGGGGACACCCCCAGAGTGACCCAGAGTGACCTTGAGTGACCCACAGTGACCCTGAGGGACCCACAGTGACCCACGGCCATCCTGAGACCCCACCCCGCACTCGGAGCCCCAAACGCGGCAGAGCCCCAAACGCAGACCCCTGTCCCAGGCCGGGGAGAGGGACACGAGGGGACACCCCCAGAGTGACCCAGAGTGACCTTGAGTGACCCAGAGTGACCCAGAGTGACCCACAGTGACCCACGGCCACCGTGAGCGACCTACAGTGATCCACGGCCACCCCGAGTGCCGGCCGCGCACCCGGAGCCCTAAACACGGCAGAGCCCCAAACGGAGACCCTGTCCCACTCTGGAGAGGGGGGACACGAGGGGACACCCCCAGAATGACCCAGAGTGACCCTGAATCAGCCAGAGTGACCCTGAGTGACCCACAGTGACCCTGAATGACCCACGGCCACCTTGAGTCCCGGCCGCGCACCCGGAGCCCTAAACACGGCAGAGCCCAAAACTCAGACCCTGTCCCAGAGCGGTGGGTGGGGGACACAAGGGGACACCCCCAGAATGACCCTGAGTGACCTTGAGTGAGTGACCCAGAGTGACCCACGGCCATCCTGAGACCCCACCCCGCACCCGGAGCCACGCGCGGGAGGGGGCCCTAAATGCAGACCCTGTCCCACTCCAGGGAGGGGGACAGGAGGGGACACCCCCTGAGTGACCCAGAGTGACCTTGAGTGACCCACAGTGACCCACGGCCACCGGAAGCCCCCAACCCGCACCCGGAGCCACACGCAGGGGGTCCCAAATGCAGACCCTGTCCCAGGCCTGAGGGAGGGGACACGAGGGGACACCCCCTGAGTGACCCAGAGTGACCCTGAGGGACCCTGAGTGACCCAGAGTGACCCCGAGTGACCCAGAGTGACCCACGGCCACCCTGAGTGACCTACAGTGATCCACAGTGACCCACAGTGACCTTGAGTGACCCACGGCCATCCTGAGCCCCCACCCCACACCCAAAACGCGTTTGGAACCCCAAACGCGGCAGCGCCCCAAACGCGGACCCTGTCCCAGGCCGGGGAGGGGGACACGAGGGGACACCCCCTGAGTGACCCAGAGTGACCTTGAGTGACCTTGAGTGACCTTGAGTGACCCTGAGTGACCCACAGTGACCCACAGTGACCCTGAATGACCCACGGCCACCAGAAGCCCCCACTGCAGACCCAGAGCCACGCGTGGGGGGTCCCCGAATTTCGACCCGCAGGTTTTGGGGACCCCCCCCGCAGCTGAATGGGGGGAGATCCCGATGTTCCCCCCGACCCCAACCCCTTCCCAAGCCCCCCGCCCACCCCTCGCCCCCACCTCATCCCATCCCAGGCGCTCCTCGTCCAGCAGGATCCGCATCAGCTCCGGGATGGCCAGGGACGGGTGGGTGTCGTTCAGCTGGATCGCCACCTGCGCTGGGGACAGGGACACTCGGGAGGGGTCTGGAGGGGTCGGGAAGGGGTTTTGAGGTACCCCGGGTGGGATTTTGGGGGTTCACCTTGTCGGGGAAGGCGTCGAAGGCCGTTCTCACGGGGTCGCGGCAGCCGAATTTGGCGGATTTGAAGCGCCGGACGATGTCGTGGAGCGTGGCCGCCACCACGAAATATTCCTGCTTCAGCCGCAGCTCCTTGCCTTCGAAAAACTGGGGG